TCATCATCCTTTTCTAATTTCCTATTATTATTATTATCATCATCCTCCAAGTGTCCATTCTTTAAAGGTTCTAAATCTTCATTAATAACAATTTTTGAAGTCTTAATAAATGATGAATCTAGTTGTCGACGACGAAGTCTATGGATCACTTCATCTAATGCCAATTCAATTTGACAATGATTACGTATAATGGAAATTTCTATTTTTTTTTTTTTTAATAAATAAAAAAAAAAAAAAAAATTTTAAATATAAATAAAAAAAAATATAATAAAAAAAAAAAAAAAATAAATAAATTTATAATCCTAAATAAAAATAGTAGTAATAACAATAAAAACATAATCATCATACTAGGCCAAGTAGCCCTTTCACCCCTCAACGTAGCTTCTCCTAATATTTCAGGTGAAGGATTGGAAAGAATCTTAAGAAAATCCATGTAACTAATATTGGGTACAATAGTGATATCACCATAATAACATTGTGACATGATTGATTGAACTCGATATATAAGACTTTGCATTACACCAATTTCGCTAAGCTGCCATATAAAAATAAAAATAATCAAATAAATAATTTTTTAAAAAAATATAAATATTTGTTATAATATAATATTACCTGATTCATTCGATGCTGTAGCTCGGAAATGGCAAAACATAAAAACCATTTAATTGCTCGACTTATAGGTGATGCAATCAATTTTTTTTGTAGAAATGGAACTACGTGTGGATTTACTTGTACAACAAAAAGAAATTTGTAACATAAATAAATAAATAAATAAAGGATTTATAATTATATATTTATATGTGTATGATCTTATAAACTTTGTTGTACCTTGACACACAATAAAATGATTTACATTAAAGAGTTCAGAGAGCTTGTTCATTGGCAAATCACTAATGAATTAACAATAATAATAACGACTATAAGTGATAACTCATGAAAAATATTTCATTTTAAAATAAATAAATTACTTTTCTACAGATCCATCAATCCATCGAGCACCTAGAAAACATTAAATTC